AGTATAACAGGGTATCTTGATAATTTTTGCTCACAAAGTTTTACAAAGAACAAAAATTAATATAGTATTTATGTCATCTTTGGAATATTGTAAATCCAAAATCATAGCCATTACCTTAGCAGCACCATTAAGAAACGTTAATGCACTACTAGATTTGGTCTCATGATAGAAAATGGGGTACAATGAATGAAAACTTCAAAATTAAAAAGCAACTGTGCTTTAAAGAAATTAATTGCAAAATAAGTAATGATATAAAATCAGCAATATATTCAAATAAAGAAAATGCAATTTTATGAACAGTAGGGAAAATTTAGCTCAATCGCATCTTTCGCATTTTATTATACCTAGAATCAAATGTATACACAACTTCTATTTATACGATTTCTGTCTTGAGAAGTGCAATGGAATATAAGTCAATATAATACATCCATATTAGAAAATATACCAATTTTTAAAAATGTGGATAGAGTAATCTATGCTTTCTTTTGATAAATGCTTTGTAACACACAGTTACCAGTAGTATATTTGTTTTGAAAAACTGAACCCAGCAAAAACCACAATCTTTGTTTTTGTGCCATGAAATTTAATGACAAATTTTCATTTCCAAATCACTCTGGCATTTAAGTACTTAAGACTTTGTGTATATCTCTAAAAATGGCGTTTTTTTTTAATAAGACTACTTTCCTGTGTTTAAAAACAATTTTATCAAACAAAAACAATTTTCCTATAAGTTGTATTAAATTCAGACAATAGCAAATTTGAAGACAAAACATATGCGACCACAGCAATATTAGTTAATAAGCAAGATCAAAGAAAACAATCCCGTAGGTTACACAATGTCCATTATTAAGAAATTGATATACTTAATCCATACATTCTGTAGAAATGTACCACATAAAATTAGAACAAAAATCTTTTGAAAATTAAGTTAGTTCTCATAACTAGACAAATAAAGTGGACAAAACAATAATCCAAAATAGTACTATTGTCTAAAGTTTAGAAATGTAAATAAAACAATTTCTAACTTGGAGATTATATATATATATATATATATATATATATATATATATATATAATTTTTGATTGTTGGCCATGATTAAAGGTATGTAATTTGCCAATATAATGTAAGTAATTTTCAATTTATGAATTCTAAAAGTACATTTTTATTTTTTGTACATATTTCAGAAGCAACAATGCCTATTGTTAGGACTTATTTTATCTTCAAGCAGTTCTCTCACGTATTAGAACTAAAATTTATTTTTAAGTGATCAAGCATTATAATTTTACTCAAATCATATGATGTACTTCACTAAATTGTAAGACTAAAACCAAAAACACTATACCCATGAGTGTTATTCACTCTGCATGTCAAAAATGCCTGAAAAACTTTCAAAATGCAAGAAAAAAAGTTCTAAAAAGTTCAGTAGTTAGTTAGCCAATGTATATTTATTGTGGCTTGCATTCCTGTTGCCGACTAACACTGTGATACATAAGATCCCTACACATCAAAATGTTAGATCCCTATGCATCACAATGTTAATAGAGATAGGATGCATGGATATTTTGTATTGAAACTTTCTGTGCTTTTGTTTCTTTGACAATACATTGAACAGAGGAGCAAAAGACCTTATATAAATCATGTAATGTGATAAAAAGCAAGAAAGACAAATATGAATTTTACAATATATAGAGCCATGACTGCCAGTTTCTGCCTTCCTTTACATCATTTCTGCACATAAGTTCATTATTCAGAGTATTTGGAGAACTTTAAGAGAAAATGGAGATTTTCATGGTAAGGAAGGAACCATGCAACAAGGTAACATTTTACTGGAAACTCTGACCCTGGGAGTTACTTTGTATGTTCCTTTTCCAAAGTATAATGAAACTTAAAATTATTCTCATTTTGTTTGTTTGCCTGAAACTTCTTCAACTAGAAATTCATCTATTTAATGGTCATTTTCTTTGTTAAATATCGGTTGTACCTTAGTCACTAACATAAAAATGTGAATTAATTTAGTGACATAATTTTATTTTACTTTAGGTAAAAATTACTATCCTAAGGTAATGGAAGTCATAATCTGGGTAAGGAAAAAGAAGCAAGATAATTTTAGAGCAGAAAACCATTTTGTGGACAGGGTAGACCTTAATAATGAAGTACTGCTGTGAGGTGCTTAAGAGGAACAGTGTGAGAGTGTTGGAAATCAAGGAGAAAGACAAAACTGAGTGTCAAGGACAATCTTTGCTTTGTCCAGATGGTAATATTTGTAGTGAGTCTTAGGGCCCAAGTATGTGAATTTTTTCTTTTATTCTGAAGGATCTATTTCTGTCAGGATATTATTCAATACACAAAAAGAAATCTCTGCATACAGTGCTCTATTAACATGTTTCAGTGGGAGAGACTTTATAAACATAAACCATATGTTTTTAAGTTTGTGGGTTGCCTAACACAGAATCCCTTTGAATAACCAGAGGAACTATAAAAGACATTTTGCTATATTTACCAAAAGCAACATGTAAGCATTCTTTCATCTAACAAAATAGGATAGGTGATCTTCATGAAAGAACTAAAATCATTGTTTTCTGCATATCATTACTGTTATAAGCTCTGCATTCAAATTTTCTGGTGAAGTTTTTATTTTATTTTATTTATATATGTTTAATATAGGCTTTAGTGGAAAAGATTATTAGTCTATCTGAACTTTAAGATGACAGATTGTTAAGCCTCTATGTGTAATTCATGTGTTTTCCTTTGAGAAATAGTTTAATATCATTACCTTCCATAACAAAAATAAAAACTCAAAATTATGATATCAGTATGTACTATCAAGACCATTAACTAGAAAGAAAAATAATACAGAATAACTCTTCATGAATCCTGTAGAAACCACAGTACAGAAAGAATAGTTCTAGTGTCCAAAACTTTATAGAACCCTCATAAGAGTGTTCCATTTAAATCTGCAATTGTTGACTACAGAATTCTAGCCAAAGAAAGGACATGATTAGGCATTCTTATCTGAGTTTCTTTTGCAAAGTAAGATATAGTTTGATGCTTGTATTTACCCTTTGTACCCTTACTACTACTGTTAGTCAGGCAGGCTTGAATTTTCCAGCAGAAAAATTTCTTCACAACTATTATAAACATGCCTTCATGTTTTTATGCACTATCAAAGCCCTCTGGATAATAAGAAATCATGCTATTCACATAGTATTGCTTACCTCACATAGTGTTCATTTCATGATATGAGCGTATGACATGACTCTTGAACAAATTAAATTAAAATTAATTAAGATAAGCTTCTTCAAAAACCACTAATTATAGAAAACCTGGAGGTTATTTTCTGATCACATTTCATTTTCCAATTTTAGATCATCTAATGTTATTTCTTGAAAACTGTCCAGGGAAATATTATATGCCCTGAAAAGTTCAATATCAAATTTATATTGAGTTTGATTTATCAGTTCTGATAAGAAGTCAAAGAGCACAAACAAGATAACGATAGGAGGAAAATAAATAAAAATATATGGATACTAAATGTTACATGCAAGTAGTTAATGTAACAAAGAAATTTGAGGAAAGAAAATGCCACTTTGAAAAATAAAATCCAGAAAATGTCATACCAGCCTATTTCTACATAATGTTTTCATGAGGAATTAGGTGTTTTGTAATATCTTTCAATTATTTCAAAAAGCTATCTCAAAAGTAGAATGTATCCATTCATATATCACACTCAGGAAACAATTTTATGCATGGAGTATAGATTACTGATATTATAAAGAGAATATGATTAGATTGTTTTATTAAATGCCAAACATACATGTCGTCTAGCCTAAATCATATACTCAGTAATCACTATCTATGAACTAAGCAAAATAAAATCCACAACAAATAGTATATGTAGCACACACAATTAGCTCTATTACATTCACCAGACAAAACTCAAATTCCAGTTTATATCCATGAATTCTTCCTGTCGGTACTAGTAGTCATGGCATTTTCTTCAACAAAAAAATGATTCTTTAAAATTTCAGAATTCAGAGAAAATAATATATATTACACAGTGGTTTTGAATAATAAATTTAATAGCAAGACATTTTTGCCAGATTATTTATAGATATGATTTTATAAATGAGGTCAATTTTTATGTAGTTCCTTAATATTACTTCCTTTTTAAAATATTAAACTATTTTCTTGAAGTATAATTATTATGTGGCAATGTCGAAAGGTTACTAAGTTATATTATACCATATCATTTGTGCTGAGTGCACAATCATATTACTCAAATAACCCAGATAATCATAAGTCTAGGTAAACTCATATGCTACACTGTAATTCAAATCATATGGATGTCAAGTTAAAAATAAAGGGAAATTTTACATATAAAGGAGTAGACAATGATGAAATTCAATTGGCTGACTTAAAATCCAGCTTACCTAATGCCAAAAAGTGACAACAGTACGTATTTTATATTCAAAGGTTTAACTGTGGGATATTAAGAAGATAACAAGACCAGTATAAAGCTTCTTGTTAAATAATTATTCACTTGTACTACAATTCCTTTATTTTACATTGTTAAAAGACTTATGTAAATCTTTTTAGATGAGACTACTTATAGTTAATATACAAAGCTGCCTACACAGACTATTGGTGATTTAATGCTTGTGGAAAACGTTGGCACCAATCATATCAGGATTTATATTTTAGCACAAATGTAAATTTTGGTCTGGCACCAAAATACTATGAGTACATTTGAGCAATTAGAGAGAGTTGAATAATTTGAGTCCTATGTATGTGCATAACAAGCTTATACTATACAGTACTTTTTTTGTCCTAAAGAAAAAAAGAGCATTTTAGGATCCAATGCTGAAAAATATTGACATTGCTTGGTATTATGGTATAAGCAGTTTGATTTTTGTTAATGAATTCACAAACAATTATCATATGAAACAGTAAAAACTAATAAAGTAACATTATTTAAAATAAATTTTAGAAGCTAGCGTGCAGAGCATTAAGATCTGTTGAGACTAATTTTATGATTAAACACTTAGACATGACTGTAAAACAACATAATATGAATATTATGGACCTGTGTATGTTTTTTAATCTTACTCACCCTAAAATATGGGACTTAAATAAAATATTCAAGGAATGTAACAGAAAATAATGCTTTTTATATGAAATTAGGCAAATAGCCACACGTTTAATTTTCTCTTTATCCAGGTTACCTGAGGAACAATGCAAATCTTACAAGCCAGTTGATGTTCACTTTTTCATGCTCCTTCGCTGAGCTACGCTTGAAGCAGCAACAGGCTCTAGGATTGGTTGAAAAGTCTTATTCATCAGAGCAGAGTATGTGGCAATCACTGTTCCTTTAAATAATAAAAAATGGGTAAGTAACAGTCTCTGTAGAAAAACAACAACATCAAATCTCCTAAATTGTATCATGATGCTTGTTTCTAGAACAAATGTTTTCCACAGAAACGTAAGTGAGAGTATTCACGGTACTGACACAGCCAGGATAAATCACTACTTGTTTATTATTTATTTTCAATTAATTAAACCACATTTCTTACAAAAAATGTCTTAAACACTAAAATTTAAAATTTAGGTTTCTGGATACAGGAACTGATATCAATGATTATAATGCAGTGATATATATAAATTTTTGTTTCCATCTGAAACTTACATTTAGTCCACTTCTAGCCAAAGTTTCAATGCAAAGAAAAGGCAACTAAAACCAAGATATTTTTATATCATCATAAGAAAAGCAATAGTAAAGAAAGTGAAGTACATAATTGCAATTTTAAAGAATACCAAAACTTAAAAAAAAACTATCTTTAAAAATAATAGTTTTTCAAGGAATCATTTAAACATCATCAGTGTAGATCATATGAAAATTTCATTCGATGTTAAGTATTCAGAAATCACACACATGCATGTTCATCTTACCTTAACAACATGTGGCATATCATTAGTTTTTGGCTGATCATTTGGTAACTGGTTTCTGTGGACTATCCATCAATGTTTTAATACTTGTTGAGTATTGTAATGCTGATGTGGATCCACATGAAGCATATGGGACAGCAAATCCTACAGGAAAAAGAATAATTTATACAAAACTATGTAACATTTAATATTTCCTCAATGTTAGAAAATGTCAGTAACTCTGTAATCTGTTGTATTCAAATATACATAGGAAAACAAAATCTGTGTTCTGCAATTACCTGTCAAAACAACTAAACACAGACTTTCTAACAAAGTAAATCATTTTATTATTTTTAAATCAGGGGACACTACATTTCTGGAATCAGCATACTATTAGTAATAGAGGAGGGAAATGACAAGTGAGTGGACTTACCCTGGGATATGCTAAACAACAAGAGAGAAGAGTTCTTGAACTTTGCAGAAATCTGGATCCTAAGGTATACAGCTGCAACATAGAAGGGAAGGATCCATGCAGTTAATTATTTAAAATTAGGGGTTTTTGGAAAAACACAATAAAGAAATCAAACTCTGAATATGCCTATTCAATCTTGGTTGAGATGAAAATGCTGTAAACCAAACATATCCTCATAGTAATGCTGAATGTGAAATATATTATGTCATATTAAGTAATGCCTTTAAATAAATTATACCAACTATCATTTAGAAAAAGTAAACTCTCCTTAACAAGTGCTTTTAATAGGAAAACAAAATTATCATTAGAAATCGTTCACAAATATGAAAAGCACTGAAACATAAGACTATTACCATCAAATGATAAATAATATCATTGGTTGAAACTATATAAAGGAATAGGGCAATCAAACACAACAATCTATTGGTAAAATCACATATGCTGAAGTAAATGCACATTTAAAATTAAGCTAAGATAATGAATTATTTCAATACAACAGACAGAAATGATGATCATAAGAATTAAAAATAGAACTTCCATATGGTCTATCAACTTCATTTCAGTGTACATATACTAAGGAAATGAGATAAGTACCTCAAAAAGACATCTGTACTCCCAATTTGATTGCAGCATTAGTCACACTAGCCAAGTAATGAAATCATCTAAGTGTACATTAGCTAATGTATAAATAAAAGAAAATCTGGTACATACACAATAGAATACTATTCAGCCACAAAAACAGTGAATTCCTGTCAAATGTGACAATATGGATGAAAATGGAAGGCACAATGTTAAGTAAGCCAAGGCGTGAAGAGAAACTATCACCAGGATCTTATCATATACATTTTTTAAAAGTCAATCTCATAGAAATTGACAGTGAAGTGGTGTTACCAGAGGCTAGAGAACACAGTTGAGAAAATAGTGATGAATGTGTAATAATTTATGTGGCAAAAGTTCTGGTTTGCTATTGCACAATAGGGTGCACCATAGAGATATGTAAGGTACGTTTCAAAAAGCAAAGAAGACAAAAACAAAACAAAACAAAACAAAACAAAACAAAATTATATGTATTTAAGGAGAAAAATCATTACCCTAATTTAAATATTGTACAACGTATACACATATTGAAACATCACATTATTCAATTAACAGGTAAATTTTTATGACAGTTAAATTAAATTAATAACTGCACCAAAACAAAAAATAAATCTCAGAATTTCAAGGACTTCTGCTTCCGGCCAAAATGGACTGCAAGGTATTAAAATTACCTACTCACCAAAACCTGAAGCAAAATGTTAAAATCAATAATATAATGCAACAACAGTTCTGAGGAAATTAGATGTTAGTCAATGAAGGAGATGACCCCTAAGAAATAGAAAGCAAGTCAGATAAACAACAATTGCCCACCTTATTACCTGTAGAGTTTTAATTCTTATGCTGATAAGGGAAATCCACTCAGAAGCTGTAATTTTGAGCTAAGAAGACAGATATAAAATGGACTAAAGGCAGAGAGAGAGTCATCAGGGCATCTAATAGAGGTGAAAGGAGAATAGAAAGAGAGAATTATGTTTTGTAGAGTATTTCCCTCAGTTCTTCAGATCACTACTAAGAAATACAAGTTAGAAAAAACAAGTTAAGACCTTGAGGAAAAGTATCTAAAATGACTGGAGGAAAATATGAACTAATAAAGTAAGATAGGTCTTATAATTTTTATGAGTAATATATCAATTCAAAAAGTAGTTTCAAGTAGGGACAGCAATATTCAAAGAAAAAATTGACTACCATGATCTTTTAGAATACTAATGATGAAAAATACTACTTTTTAATTTTTAAAAATAAATTGTGTGGTTTAAAATGTAGGAATAAAAATGGTCCCATGAAAACAGAAGAAATCATGTAGGATGGGAAATACTAAGCTCCAGCTAGCGAGACTAAAGATCCTTATAAGTCTTACAGAATATGATAGAGAATTTGGAAGGATCTTGCCTCAGACTAAACACTGTTCTAGTTTTGCATGCAAATGTATTAAAATATGATATAGAATAAAGTTCCACAATGTTAAAAATACAAATGCATCCAGTATTCAACAAGGTAAAAATCAATGTGTGCCGTATTATCTAAATAGCAAGTGTTAAAAAATTGCAGGAGAGTACAGTGAGAAGAAAAACTGAGTCAATCAACATTGAATAGAAGTGACATTAGAATTAGTATATAAGGATATTAAAACACTTAGCAAACCATTTTCCAGATGTTTAAATGTAGAGACAGAGAATATAGAAATAGACATCAAAAATTTGGAAAGGAAAATTAAAATGTAAATTTAAAAATTAATGTAATAGAAAATTTATCAGAAAAAAACACTGTTAAAGATAGCAATATAATCTTCTTTAAAAGAATCAGATCTTGAAACAATCAAAAGAAGAGAGCATCACTTAGTTAAGGGAGAATTTCAAATAGAATATATAGGAGTCCTACAAGAAAAGGGGATATATAAAATAAATGGTGAAAACCTGAATCTAAGAAGTTCACTAAAGTCCAAATATAAGGAAAATTACATAAAGGCACATCAAAACCACATTGTACAAAACCCACATTACAGAGAAAAATCTTTAAGACTGAAAGGAGGGGAGAAAACGTTACATATAGTGAAAGATAATGATAAAGAAAGATTTATCATCAGAAAAAAATCAAATGAAAATCCTGAGTAATCATTTTAAAATACATAAACATATGTGTCTAGCACATTTTATTCAAAAGTATGGTCTCCAGGTACACCCATTAAAAAAAAAAAAAACACTAAAGTTTATCATTCTTTATGGCAGTATAGCACTCCAGTGCATATAAAAACTACATTTTCTTTACTCATTCATCTGTTGATGGACACCTAGTCTGTTTCCAAGATTGAGCTACTAAAAATTGTGCTGCTATAAACATGGCTTTTTATATATCACTTTGGTGTAATATTTTTAACTTTTTTGAGAATATACCAAGAATGGAAGTAATTGTGTCAAATGACAATTCTAGTTTTGGTTTTTTGAGTTGTGTATAACTAAATTATCTGAGTATCATTTCCATTTCCTATTCTGGAGAAGTTTTCTGTAATTTTTTCTGTAAATAGCCTTTGTATTTAATTTGTGTTGACCCCTGCTTTTTCACTCACCTTTATTATTCTTATATTATGCTTCTTCACATCATTTTGTAGTCATTGAACTGTTACTTCTTGGTTCCTTGTTATTTTTAAGAGATCTTTCCTTTCATGGTCACAAAGCTGCAAACCTGTCTTCAAGATTTGAAAGTCTGTCTTTAGTTTCTTTCAAGCAGTTTTGCCAGCTTTCAATGGAGTTTTTAATTTACTGGCACTCTCTTTGAATTTGTTTTTATGAATTCTAAGTTTTTTTTTATATTCCTAATTCAAGGTTTCCCTCATTTTCCTATGCTCCTCTATTCCTCCATCTACATTTTCTTTAGAGGTGCTTAACAATTCATTTATTATGTTTTTCACTTCTTTAACCTGAGATAGTATTTCTGTTCTAATTTATTTTATAGTCTTATGAAGTTGTTTCTTTACTTCAGTTGCCATTGCTTCATAAACATCAGTGCACAATTCCCAGTCTCCTCCGTGTTAACATTCCCTGGACCAGAACTGCTTGAGATGGAGGCCAGAGATTGCCTTTTGCTTTTTCCTCTTGTCATATTCCTGGTTTCTTCCAGACAAGTAGGTAGTGGGGTCCCTGGCATTTCCTGTGTTGGTTACAATTTCTCTGAAGTGAGACTGATTTATCTAGCATTTGGTGGCTAGGGATATCTGATGATGACCATTGAGTGCACTTGTGTAGGGATCTCTGCTGCTTTTTCCAGCCTACTTTGTCTCCTTGGTGGCTGGTGGAGTGCAAGTAGAGGTGGGGCAGGCTGCCACCTCCCTTCTAACCTGATTAATGGCAGGGACCCCCCACCACGTAGAGTATACACATGGGGCAGTGATGGTTGGGAATAGATTTAGGGAAACCTCAGCGATGGCTGTTGGAACATGCACAGGGGCAGAACTAAGTCCAAGCAATTTCCACCAGGCTGCTTCCGCCTAGGAGCTGCTGGAAGAATCCTGCTGCAATTCTGGTTCCAGCCTTATGAGTCCAAACTTCAAAATGACTCCTGGTCAATTGCCCTCCCCCTGGGAGGATTAAGTCCTCTACACTCATTGCCAGCCAGTGCAGTTCTCCATATCTGCTGCTCCATTCCAACACCACATCTCTTTTAGAGGCTTTTAGACTTGCTTGCAACCACAATCACTTTGACTGTGCATCCTCAGGTTTCAACAGCTCTTATATGGTGGGTCTGTCTCTAGGTGAAGATGCTGCCAACTACCACCTTCTTCTTTGTTTAAGTTTTTTTCTTTTTTTTACTCTCTGTGGGCTTTCATTCTCACTTTTAAGTTCCTCCTTGTTCTAGGAGACCCACTTCCTTCCTTCTTGTTTTTCCCACAATGCTATATGCCAACATCTGGACTGTTTCTCAAACAAACAAGTTATTGAAATAGACCTGAGCAGTGGTGTTGAATATACAGAATGAATGTCACCTAATGCATGTGTCACTGAAAGCTCTCATACTTTCACCATCAATAGACTACAATATAGAAATAGAAACATGCATTATGTAAATAGCTGATTTTTCATAAAGATAGAAATGCAATTTATTG